CGTTTCTTTCCTGTCTCTGTTTCTGACATGTGGGCCTGTAATTTGTCTACCTCTCCCCAGCCCGCCGAGCGGCTTTTCTCATCTTGTAAAACCAGAAGGAAGAGTACCAGCACTGCCTGGGGAGGGAGGCGAAAAAAATCAAGACCAGACATATCTCTCAGAGAGCATCACCTCGTTCTACGGTTCTGGATTCCTCCACGCGTGGATGGCGAGCGGAGGTCTTCTGAAAACGTGCCGGCGATGATAAATTCTCCCGGGTTTCTCGGCACCAAATGTGCGGGGCGTGCGTGTAGTGGTCTCGCCGGCAAAAAACATACACACACACACACACACACACACACACACACACACCAGAATCCTTCCGTAGAAACACGTTTATTTCCCTAAACCAAAATGGTGGCAGAAGACGACTCCCAGCCCTGGGAAAAGCCCTTATATACCCTAGAGCGGCGTAATCATCTCTGATTGGCTGTATACTTGTAGCGCGCCAAACACCGTGGGATGGGCTTAGCTTTGGCGGGCTACCATGGCACATGCGCAGTTTATTTGTTTACTAGGAAGAATTATGGCTGACAGCGCCACCTAGCGATGGCGGACTTTGCCAGCACCTGCCGCGGCTCCCAACAATAAATTACTTGTGTCTACACTAAAATAGATTTTTTCTTTAATGTGTAATGTTGAGAAAGAAACTTGATCTAGAAACTACAACATTTACTATTTTATGCATGGAAAAGTCAAATTCTATGCACAGTAAATTTCTATGATGATAGATACCATGATGGTTGCCAAGGAGGAGGGACTAGAATATAAGTGAGGCTTTTGGTGTGCTATATTTTGCTCTGGCTGTGATTTCTTAGACTATGTAGTTTTGTATTTGAAATGCTTACATAATACTATGGACAGGAGACCAATCTGTATCTTTGTGTTTCTCAAGAAAGCTTGGTATACACTGATATAGACAAATAATCTAGTCCATGTTGTTCAGAAGAAAAGGTAAATGTATTTCTTACATGGAGTATTTTAGTAAGAAAAAAGTAAGAATGCACTTGCATTTTATCCAGCACTGTAAAACAGAAACATATGACTATAATCATGACACGCTGTAGTGTCTCTGTATCTTTGAAGTAACTGTAACCAACTTAAAAAGATATTACTTCCTTTTGATTTGAGGCAATGATTGGAGTTTTGATTGAAATAACTAATGATATTTTATATAGATAAATAGCTCGTGGGAGCTAAAGCTCTTTATTTTGTTCACAAAGAAAAGTTCCCACAGGAATATCTGGATGTTTTAAAGGCATATATGATTAATGAAGGGGTAAAGAAACTGGAGAACACAGGCATAATACTGATAAGAGCTCAGCCATAAGAATTCATGGAAAGTTGTGCTGAGCCCCCATGTCTTATAGAGTTTTCAAATAACAAAGGAAACTCGGGTAACATAAGGTGTAGCACAGCACAGCACAGCACAGCACAGCACAGCACAGACAGCACAGCACAGCACAGCACAGCACAGCACAGCACAGCACAGCAC